AATACAACTGCATAAAATGTTATGAAAAAATAAACATGATGAAATAATTAATATTCAATATTTTTTCAACTGGTTTATTTCAATAAAATTAATGTTCTGTTATTTTGTATTTGAAAGAATTAACATTTGTAATATTTCGTAATGTTATTGGCAAATTTTTCCACAAAAATGGTCCAGAATACATAAAAGATTTCTTGAACAATTCTATTTTTTGGTTTAGGGGTTATGAGGTTTCCTTGAACAGCATTTCTCAAAGGGTATGGATTTCTGTCTGAAACATAATAAAACTTGCTAGTAAGATATGATGGGGCATCATTTTTGATGCACTTAAATGTCATCACATGTCAAACTTGTGATATTTTATTCTCTGTTCAACTGTCATCCAGTTTAAGTGTTTGAATAAAGGCTCAGAAGGAGCGAAAGGGTCTGTTTCTAGTATTATTCTAGCAGCTCTCTTGTAATTTTAATATCCTATTTAAACCCTCACTGCTACAACTACTCCACACTATACAACAATAACCAATTAGTGGTAAGATATAACCATTATAGAATAATTTTCTGCAGTCTAGAGTTAGAAATTTCTGAATCTTTAATAGTAGGTGTACCCTAGAGGAAACTTTTGAGCAGTTCAAATCAATTTGGTTGGTCCATGTGAAGGAAGGGTCAATTTTAATGCCTAAGATACTTTCGCATGTGGAAGATTGTATCACTTGATTGTTAATAGTTAAACAACTTTCACTGTAATGTGGCATTGCTTTTTGCTTTGTTCCAATAGTCATATATTAGTTTTATTTTTATTGATGAACATATCGTTATCATTACACCATTCCTCAAATCCATGCAAATCTTCTTGTACCTTTGACTGAGGTTAATAACAACTACCAGAAAGATGTAAGGTTTTATCATCAGCATAAAATCAGTGCAACAATTTTTTATATACATAGGAAGGTCATTTATGTATAAAATAAATAGAAGGGACCATAATATGGAGCCTTGAGGGACACCATATTTGATAGAAAGTTTTTTCAGAATGAGCAATACCAATTTGTATTTGTTGAGTTCTTTTATTCAAATAGGATTTGAAAAAAGAAACAGCAGCATTATCAAATCCATAAATTTCAAGTTTTTTACAGAGAATATCATGATCTACTACCTCAAAGGATTTCTTAAAATCCAATAGGGCTGCTAAGTTGATATTACCATCATTCATACATGTATCCTGCACCTATTTATCTATGATATTGATAAGGGCAGTTTGGCAAGAGTATTCTTGTCTAAACCCAGACTGTGCTGGGTGTAAAAGATTAAGTCTTTTTAGATGGTCATACAAATGTTATCCGCCGAGGTGTCCATTTTAAGACATCAGAACATCTCAAAACTTTTAGTGCTAATACCTCTTTTTTAATGTCAGCTCGTCTATGGCAAATTTTATCATTCGAATACGATTCAACAGGTCTGTTTTTTCTAGTCTAAAACCGCTATTCAAGGACATTCATTTATGTTTGGTACCCAATTCCCGAAGAATAAAAAAAAAACCACTATGTTAAAAAAGAACAATCCAAAATGAAAACTTCAAAAAATTGAAGAGATGGATAAAAGAAACAAAGAAAATCATTATAGATAATCAATATTCGCTGTGAGAGCCAAGCTGTGGCAAACATACACTGTTTAACTGATATGTAAACAAATGAATTCATGAAAACCACTCTGACACGTGCAGTGTCTTTGCAATTTTCAAATGGTGCAGCCCCAGCACTTTTATATGACATCTTTTGACATTTTGCTTCAAATCATGGAACCATGGCCCTTTGACAAGATATTGTCCTACTGTCCCCTCTTTTACAACAACAAAAACAGCATCTACTTAAAAAATCACATTGGAGGAAGAACTAATCGATATTTTTTCCATTTGAGCACTTTTATATCGGGTCTAAAGTCCCTGTAATGTTCTCGACTTGATTTGTTTTAACGTCATACTGTTGATTCATTATTATTCGTTGGATACCAATTTTCGTGAATTTTGTGGTTACCTGGGAACCACGGATTCCATTGTCCAACGAATTACACAATTGCTTTATAGGAATGTATGCAGACTTTGGCAAAACCACGAAATCAAATATCCACGAAAATGAAAGTTTTCCTCAATCCACGAAAATTGGTACCCACGAAAATAAATGAATCCACAGTATGTGATCACTTCTTCATCAAGGAGGTTGCGATTAGGCGTTTTTAAAATATAGAAATGATGGCTCATTTATGACAGGATACGTTTCGGTGCCCTTCTCTAACTAGAGATTTGTTGGCGTACAGTGACGTAATATGGACATGTTTTAGGGATTGGACACGTTTGAGTTTAAAAAAAACACAAGTTGCTGAGTGTAAAATGTATATCAAGAATTCTCTAATCGATGTGTTTTGTTACCAATCCATCAATCAGGATTATTGATCCGTTATTTTGATTTCTCATAAAAGAACTTAATTGATAAAGGCGTTTATCAAAATGCTGGACTTTTTAATCGACAATATATGTTGAATTTAGAGGATTGATATTTCAACAGACAGTCGGTATTCCAATGGGTACTAATTGTGCACCCCTTCTGGCCGACATGTTCTCGTACTCGTATTAAGCAGAATTCACTCAGAACCTTCTAAAAGACAAAATGAAAAAGCACCTTGCAAAATTCTTTAATTTTTCTTTCAGATATATTGATGATGTCCTATCACTGAATAACCCATATTTCAGTCAGTACTTGCATCTCATATTTCCCAGTGAACTTGAAATTAAGGATACTACTGATACAAGAAGGACCTCTTCATACCTTGATCTTTTCCTCAATATTGACACAGATGGACGACTTCACACTAAAATCTATAACAAACGGGATGATTTCAACATCCCAATTATCAATTTTCCATTTCTCAGCAGTAACATACCCTCTGCTCCGTCGTATGGTGTTTACATACCAAATTGATACGTTATGCTCGTGCATGTTAACACTATACTGACTTCATATACAGGAGTGTGCTCCTTACGCAGAAACTGCTCCAACAGAATTATGAGGAGGAAAGATTAAAAATGACACTCCGTAAATTTTATGGACACCACCACGAATTGGTTGATCTATACGATGTGCCTGTGTCTAAACTAACTAATGAAATTATTACCACGTCTTAGATTGTGGTTTAACATCTATGTCGTCTGTCTGCTAAGTACTGAACGTGACCTATTCCCGAATATGACTGTTATACCGAGTGTGAATTTGCATTGCTATACGACGTGTCTCGCGATCGGTATTTTGTACATCCAAAATTCATGTATTTATTTTTTATGTTTCTATTGTGGTTTCGGTTGGATAATGTGTTATGTCTTATCGTTTGTAGTCCAAACAATTATAAATAGCCTTTCAATACCATCATTGTCATGAAAATTGTTTGGACTGGTATTGTGAAAATAATTGTATAAAGTTCGAGATTGCATGTTCGTTACGTAAGTATGTCACTGTTTGTGAAGTCCTGTGGTGTCTGTCGTTGATGGAAGATGTTCGTTGTTGTTCTGCGGTATGCATGTTGTGTCGACTATTATATTATTTGTTTGTGCGTTTCTCTGTGATGAGTGTTCTTGTGTGTGTTTGTGATGTATTTCTGTCACGTAGTGTTGTGATTTTTGCGATATTTTTTAACATTGCCATATAAGCGGGAGGTTTGGCTAGCCATAAAACTAGGTTCAACCCACCATTTTTTTTCTTAAAATGTCCTGTACCAAGTCAGGACTATGGCATTTGTTATCAAAGAGTTCGTTTCTATGTATGTTGGCGTTTGTTTTTGTCGCACTTCAGTGTTCCTGTTGTTCTTTTGTTTTCCTCTTATAGTTGATGTGTTTCCCTCGGTTTTAGTTTGTAACCCGGATTTGTTTTCTATCAATCTATTTGAACATCGGGTATACTACGGGTATACTACTGTTGCCTTTATTTGATACCGGATCCAAAGCTACCCTCGTTAGTTACACTCGAGACCAACGGTTTGGATATCAACACATTTTGAATAATGAGACATAAGATACCAAGGGATAATCAAATATCATAAAACGTTCATACGGAAAAAAAACCTATGGGGAAAATAAACAATCGTTTACGGTTAAAGGAAGTTACCTTTGTTTATGTTTAGTTATACAATTGACTAATAATTTACTATATGAAAGAACCATTTAAATTATGCACGTACCAAAGAATTAGCCATGCAGTAAACGAAATACTAGTAGTGAAAAGATGTTTAAGAAATTGTTAAAGTAAAAGATACCCCACCAGGCTGTTTATATATACGCCAGCGTCATTTTTTTCCATTCCCTTTCCCATACTTACTTGAATTTTAGTCCGTTTGGGAGTATAAACAATAAAGAAAAATCAATATCTTACACATTGTGTAAAACATATGATATGCCCTTTCATGAGTACAACACTTGCATACTGCTTTTTACGTTATTATTAAAAAAAAATAATTAAGGTCGCCGACCTGTTTTCATTTTTTTCTCTATTTTGGTAAGAATAAAAAGGGAGAAATACAATAATCTAACAACAATAAAAATTCAAAGATATTTTTTTTCTGATTGATTTTTAAAATTTAAAGAATCTATTGGCGGAAAACGGTCGGTACATTAAAGATAAAAATTATGGGGATTCGTTTTTCTTGACACAAATCAAAACAATTAAAATTTTACTTAACTATATTTTGTAGATCAAATATCTGATCGTTTGCACTTTTAAGACGAATTCTTCACCTGTTTAAATGAATCCAAATTTACATATTTGTAAAATTGTATGTATTATATACACATGCAGAAATGTCTTTAATACAAACAAAATTGATTTAAAAAAAATGTACTTCTGTGTCAAACTTTTATCATTTCAGTGTAAACATTAGCTTGTAATATATGTGTTCGGTGATTGGAGTTATAGTGTTTATGATCCCAAACCACCTTAAATGAATATTAATTTAGTTTAATCTTAAATGTTATAATTATATTTTTTAATAGACTTCGTTATGTTAATCTACAAGCTTTTGATTTTTTTAAATGTTTATTCAATATTTAATTACAAGGCCCTCCTAAAACTTTTATATCGTCGATGGACGCTGGGCTTTGTTGTCTGTTTGAATGTGCAATAATATGTGCTTCGATCCTTATTTTAAACGAATATGTTTGGTGTAGAGTTGTTTGGAACTTTTTCCATTCATTTCCAACTTGAGCCACTAAACGATACACGTGTCTATGTCTTGACTTGACATCCTGCAATACAGAATGGCGTATCAGATTCAATGGTAATAAGAAGAAAGTATGACGTCATCTTAATAAACAGATACAAATCGTGCATATTGTTGCTGTCTTTTTGCATATCTTTAACTTTGATGATGACACTCTTAATCAAAAATATGCTTTCATATACAACATTCGATCATACAATTAGTTTTATATAACTTTTTATGTATATAAACATCTTTTACTTTGTCATCATTTATATCAGAACTTTCATGGTGAAGTTTAATAAAGAAATACAAATAAAATGTTCTATTACATTAATGCCATATATTCAAGAAACCCTTTCTAATGCTTTCTTCTAACGAATAACTTGACCACTAGTAATAGAGATTTGATTTTTGAAATAAGCAGACATAATGCTAATAGCATTTTGTATCAGTTTATACAACGCCAATGCTATCAAATACCCGCTTTACAGTACATTCAAAGCTATATCTTTTGAATACTAAAACATTATATAGTTTTGCATTTATATTTAAAATAAATATCAACGTTTAAGAGCATTATTTGCAAGAAGAAGAACAAAAAAGAACTTTACCAAAACAAATAATTTCATGATATTTTGATCTGTCGTAGAATACCAAAGACTGAGACAATACGATACATTTGGTTGAAATGTCGGTGACGTCAGTGATATATAACCGCTATGATGAGAATCCATTTTAGCAAACAAAAAGATTCCTTGACCTGTAATGAATAGAATGTAAAACACATTTGCAACTAGGGAAGAATAATGATTTAATTACATATTATACAAACAAAAGACATATACTGTATCCCTATTCCCCAGATACCAAAAGTTTTCAAGCGTTGAGATATTCAAACTCGTAAGTTCAATACCAACTACCAACGCCATGACAAAAAAAGAAAACGACCAAAAGACAAACAACAGTCTACATAATGTATCCTAGAATACTAACGACTGAGAAACAAAAAGCCCACAGGTGTGATCTCTGATGCTCAAGAAGGATACATAGAGCCTTCTCTGCATCCATTGTGTTGCTCTAGTAAGTACACATTCGCTGATATGTCTAATTTGTTTTGGTATACATTTGAGGAAAAAAGACGGGATTATGGTTACGTTAATTGTAAATCATTTTTGAGAAATTCTATCTAGATCAAGCATATTCTCTAATATATGCCTGGCAATATGTCGAAAGGTTTTTGTTTTAAAATCATGTATGATATATAAACATCGTTGTAATACATTTTAGGTAGCTATGCTTAAATCTGAGATATATGATACACCATGATACCTTTGTAATGTGTTCTACTATTTTCAAACACATATCCATCATTCTGTCATCGTCCATCTCTTGTTTATGTTATTTATTTATTCTGATGTTACCAGTAATGATAAACAAGAATTTATAATTTGAATAATTATGCAGTTAAATATATCATCATAATTGAAATATTAAATAATTAATCGTGAATTAAATATAATATATTAATACACAATTAATGACAACAATTATGAATGAAAAGTGATGTTGAGTATTCATGAATAAAAAAGCAACCTTAAAACAATTAAAATGAAAAGGCACATTGTGAGTCACATACGGGCATCAGTTACAAAGAGTGTGTATATCTTACATGTCTGTTAAACTTTAACTTCCCCTGGATGCAGATGTATTATGATACAAACCTCTAATGAGGTTCCTAACTTCGGAAAAATTAACTGGCGTTGGTGTACTCAGAATTCAGAGTTTTAGTATTAAAGCCTTAGTGAACTTATAAAAGACTTCCGTTGATAATTCAGAAACTATTAAGAAACTAAAGCTCCAACTTCCTCAGGGAAAGTTGAGATGATATAAATTTTATGTCATTTTGGTCGTAAAGCTCCTCGTGTAGTCAAGTATTTGTGTATTATTGGTTTTTAAACATTTTGGGTATGAGTGGTGATAATGAAGCCAAACCAAGAAAATCTCTTCGGAAACACTATACTGATCAAGTGTCTTTCTTTATTTTCAGTCTAATGTTTGTTTATTAATTTATGCATTCTTATTTTTAAAGATATTGGATAAGGTTGATCCAGATTTTTAGGATAATGTTTTGGTCTAGGCACCTAAATTGACACGCCATGGTGTACAAATAAGCTTAACGGTCATCTTTAATTCCTCGAAAGCATATCGTTAACACAGACATCAAAGAATCCTCCCAACGCTAGGGCTAAGTTTATAAAACATTTGTAAAAAATTGAATAGAAATAGGTTATATGTCTTTCTTTATATCTCCGGTTACGTTGATAAATTATAAAGAAGCTAAGGTTCCACTCTTTTCAATCAAAACATTTACGCTTTAAGCAAAATTGTATTTAACATTGTTACCAGTTCATCTTTGGTCACACGATTTTAAAATTCCTGTGTGAAATGTTTTCTTAAAAGATTTAAGCTATTCTGTGACGGCATCTTCGAAATGAATATACGGGATTTGCTCACTGTTGAAGGCCTTACGGTGACCTATAATTGTTAACTTCTATGTCATGTGGTCTCTGATGGAGAGTTGTTCATTGGCAATCATACCACATCTTCTTATTTTTTTATTGATACGTATGATTCATCCAAGTTAAAAGTATCCAGTAAAAAAAAATATAAATCTGGTGAATTAAAATTATTTAAAGAACTGTGTCTTTAATTTGTTGTGATTCCGATCAAATACACGATGGTTTATTCTGCTGCAGTTTGTTGCCTTTGTTATTGCCTTTAACACGATCCAGCTGTTTTAGAATTTGTTATGTACTTGTGATTTCAAAAGTTGTCAAAGCATAACGATTTCTACCAAAATCTAACAATTATGATATTTTGTCAAATAAAGCTGTAATATAAACAATTTACATGTACAATTTAAAGCATTACCCATCGTCCGAAATCTAGTCGATGGGATTACTGTCAAATAATACAAAAATCATTACCAGTTGTGTGATCTTGCGTAGGTAGACCAGTTAATGTTTTGTTGGAAGAATCAAACTCCCACTGTGTAATACCTTTTTGATGATTGCTCTCTGAGGCCCAGAAACAGGTATTTTTTCCGTCAAATGTACAACTTAGTTTTGCTAAAATTGTAAATTTACATTCAAGATATTTATAGCTATAACTAATAACATTACAAATAATACAAAGCTAAAGATGGGATATATTACATAAAAAGTTTCATAGTATATTTCTTATTGCATTCAACGTGAGGGTATCAAAATTGAACCTATTTTTGGCTGTTTTTCACCGTCGTTCATTTAGGAAACAGATAAAAGATTCGATTGTGTGTTTATTTTATATACATGTTAACATTGTTAAAAAGTAAAATCACAAAAATACTGAACTCCGAGGAAAATTCAAAAAGGAAAGTCCCCAATCAAATGGCAAAAATCAAAAAAACAAACACATCAAACGAATGGATAACAACTGTCATCTTCCTGACTTGGTACAGGCATTTTCTTATGTAGAAAATGGTGGATTGAACCTGGTTTTATAGCTAGCTAAACCTCTCACTTGTATGACAGTCGCATCAAATTCCATTATATTGACAACGATTCGTGAACAAAACAAACAGACACAATAGGTAAAAATGTCAAAAATAGGGGTACAGCAGTCAACATTGTGTTATCATCTTAATCACTATAAAAACAAACAAATGTAACGAAGAAGCACAAAAAGGCATTCATCAAATTTAACATCCTCATTTTGCTTATATTATACGATTTTATTTATCTCTATAAAAATAGACTTTACAGTAAAAGTAATGTTAATAAATAAAATAAAATAATTGTGTGGTACAACGTATGACGATATACATAAGTACAGAGTCACGTCAAATGTAAATCACCAAAAATAGACTCAACAGTAAAAGTAACATTAATAAATAAAATAATTATGTCATTCAAAGTATGACGGGATACATAAGCACAGAGTCACGTCAAATGGATAATGTATCCTTATTTACTGTATTATAGTTAAATAAATCTCATTTTGAATCCATACTGAATGATAGAAAAATGGATCTCAGCGGATAATCTTAGAAATCATTAAGAAAATAAGGATCTATATCCCTCCTGCAAAGTTGACCTTTGATTATCAAATGTTTGGGTATGAGCGTTCCTAATGAAGGTAAATCAAAAAGAGTCATTAGAACGCACGCAATTTATTAAATGTTATTTTCAATCGTTTGCTATTGATTTGTCTTTATTACTCACGATATTAAACTATTGTACGACTGTCTGTCCTTTAATATGCTGAAACTATTCTTAACTTTTATAATGTTGTTACAATGATTTTGTATTTATGCTGTGTAATTGAAAAGAGAGGCGAAAGGGATGTTCAAACTCATAAGTCGAAAACAAACTGACAATGCCGTGGCTAAAACGAAAATAGACGGAAAGACAAACAGTTCACCAAACACAACAAGGAAAACTAAAGACTGAGCAACAGGAACCCCACCAAAATCCGTGGGTGATCTCAGGTGCTCCAGAAGAGTAGGTAAGTAGATCCTGCTTCACATGTGGCACCCGTAGTAATGCTCGTGGGTTTTAAAAGATGAAATACATTTTAAAAACCAACACATGATGTGAATTCCGTGCGCACTGTTAGTATTAATAACACAGTACTTAGTATATATATATGTATATTTGTTTTACATTTCATTGGGAAAGGATGGCGTTTGATTTATTATCTAATTTACTCACAGACTAGCTGGTTTGCTGATACTGTTGGTATTGTTGTATTGTTGCACCCTGCATTACATAGGTTTTGTCCACAACATCTGTTACTGCATTCATTATGTACCTGTTGGCTGATTGCATCGCATTGCTAAAAATAGAATCAGTTAATAATTCTTCGTCCTACTGATACATAATGATTTATAGGACTTCGAATAAAATGAAAAAGAGAATAAGAATTGGCACGTCTTATCGGGTAAGAGGACGATCAAAATCCTTTACAAAATATATTTCTTTGTTAATGTAAGAATGAATACAATATGTTAAAGATGCTACAAAAAACGGACAATGTTATTTTTTCCTATTTTGATTTTGTTAGGAAAAATAATAATTATGTACCAGCAAATTCCATTTGGCTTCTAGTTTTTTTTATAATCTGTCATGCATATTTAAATTAGCTTCAGATTTTACAACGCAAAATATTCTTGAAACAAGATATTAAACACTTTATTCGCCACATATTTATATAGTTCGTCTATCAGTTTGGCCCTATAAAGTATATTAATGAATCAATACTCAAATATTAACTACATGCCTGTTTTTCTGCACATCCGGTTATCCATCTTGCTTCTTTAAACAAGTTGAATATTTCTTTTATTTGACATAACTGTAAAAAAAAAAGCATTGCGTAATAACATTGTTTTAATAGTAATACTAGTTGTATTTTTAACCATAATTACAAAAAAATGTTTCCAACACCCTTCGTCTTTGCTTTTAGCTGTTTTGGATATTGAAGGACCCTTTGTATACAGTTAAACATTTACTGATTGCACTTTGTAGTTTAAGATATTAGACTCCGATAGTTACTGGTGAATTACCGAAGAACAGTGGACGATATATACGTGAACACAGAACCTTTCAGGCTAATAATCATGTCAAGATAACGAAAAATTGAGTGTTGCTTAATTTCAATGTGACTTATATGTTAAACAACAATCACAATACATGAATTATGCACAATGCAAGCAGTACCAACATTTTATCGTTTTTGCTTGGTTGACGTGTCATCTTTCCTGGTCATACGGGTGACCATTTATTTCTTATATTAAATTGTATTTGATTCAATTATCTTATATTAAAAACTATATGATTAACGTACAACGGGACACAACTGCAAAGATAGAAAGATATGGTTGTATCTCATATATATTTTCACGAATTTTGCGGTAGTCATATATTAGGCGGACAAAATAGACGCGATTAAAGTGCAGCTTAAATGCATAATAAACAATTGAATACATATCATCGGAATATACAACTGTATATGCATGTTTACATTGTTTACCTTACATAACATTAACTGAACTGTGAAACTGTTCAAACAACAGTTATACCAGTGATCCATACAGAAACACACTTAAGGATTAAAGGACAAAACATAATAATAATATCACAAGCCAATAGAACAGTTTTATTATGTAACTAACAACTTAATCGGATAATAACCTCTATTGAACAGGCAAATGTTTGAGATGGGCGCTTTACATTTGATGATTGCATAATCTTTGTTTATTCTTTTTTATCATATTTTCAAGCAAATAAATACCTAATTAATGAACATTTAAATACTTTAAGTCCGTTATAATATTTTTTTTTATATGAGTGCCAATGACACAACTCTCCATCCAAGTCACAATGTATAAAATATTAATAATTATAGGTCGAAATATGGTCTTCAACACGGAGCCTTGATCCACACCGAACAGCAAGCTATAAAGGGCCCCAAAAATGACTAGTGTAAAACAATTCAAACAGGAAAAACCAACGGTCTAATCTATATAAAAAACGAGAAACGAGAAACACCTATGAACCACACCAACAAACGACAACCACTGACCAACAGGCTCCTGACTTAGGACATGTGCATAAAAATGAAGCGGGTTTAAACGTTTTAACAGGCGCCAGCCTTCAACATATCCTGAGACAGTAGTGTTAGCAACACAAAAAGACACACTATAAAATATCAATTGAAATGGCTTAACTCGATCAAAAAGACATTTAAACAAAAACAAGTAAACATACACTAAACGAATAAGTTTGATCTATGACACACTATAAATACAATATTAAAACGTAGGTGCTTATATAACATAGACGTTACAGGTAGTAATAAAAAAAGATGTAGGAAGAGTGTCAATAGGACAACTCTTACCTGGGATAAAAATGGCGTTAAATAAAACAACGTACACAGGTAAATTTAAATATAATAATTTTGTTGTTAGGAGTACGGATGTAAATATTTTTTACAAAATTAAAAAATTTGTTGTTTAGAGTACGAGTACACAAGTGAAAATTTATCGTCATACTGAATACTCAAAGGTGGTACATATTAAAAATAGTGAAACGAGATATAACATAAAATAAGTTAACCTTGAATTACAGAAATGCATTACAAATTGTGTCAACAGGTCAAATTAACACGAAAGTACGATTTGAGAGTACTCGCAGTTACTGAAAGCTAGGTAAAAGCCAATAACAATTAACAATAAAAAAATCATGCATCAGAGACTAAAATCAATTAAAACCCATCCCACGGATTTAGTGTTTTAACGCCATGGACAGTGAAAGAAGACATGACTTGTGCAATGCCAAAATAAAAGTATCGACAGGCAGTAGGACCGTTAGGATGTAACCTTATAATAAATATGTATCATGTTATATATAGATAAAGCAATCTCTAAAAATCGTGAATGTGTATTTATACATCCCAAAAACCATTCGAAAACAATACAAATTTAGTTATGTTTTAATTTGTTGATGACGAAATCGATGTTGGTGCCAATGTAAACAATATTCAAAGATCTTATTACAATTATATTAATAAGATAACCTTTACTAATAAGTTTGTTTAAAGAGTCAATGAGTTTACACGGATCACATAGTGATTTCTGCGCTTTAAGTAAAATACTACAGTAAAATTTAGGATGTGAAATACCGTTTTTAATAAGTTTTCTACAAGTAAAGCCTGATTCGCGAAAAGGTATAGGTTTAAGCGTTCTGATGAAGGTTAACAAATAGAAGCACTTTAAAATATTGGTTGGAACAACCTAGTTATATAAATTAGAAAAAACTAATCGGTCGAATCTACACATTATTATATGCTTGGAAATTGTAAGAATTTAAGATTTCATTTCAAAAGGATAGCTTTGCAATCCAAATGAAATACTGTCGCTGTGTAAAGAACTGTGTTTTATTCTTTTAGCATCGTTACATGATCAAATTGACTAATTACACAAAACACTGATGTTAGTTCAGATATTGGTATATAAAACATATTGAATTACTTGTCATCAGCATCAGTGTGTCCTTAATCGTTCTCTTCAGCTGATCTTGAATGTGTCATTTGAAAATTCTATATATAAGTTATATACCTGGTCTTGTGCGCACGCTGTAATTTGGTTACAATCGTCCGACGTTGGTCTTCCACTTGAACATGCATAGCAATATTTCAAACTATTAACAAAGGTTGGATTCCCGACTGCATAAATAAAATTTTCAAAAAGACATCACATCCCCAGATATGTAGAGACTCAAATATTCTCATAGAATGAAAAATAAAAATTCTAATGTCCAAAAAATGTTCAACGAGTAACCGAATAACATTTTAATGCATGACTGTGCGTAGTGCGTGCGTCTATCATCTCTGTTGTGCGGCAACGCGATGAATATTTTTCGATATTGTTATCCGTGGATTAGTTATTCTTCTTCATTGCTGATATTTAACAGAAATTAATACAAAATGTAGTGAATTATAACATCTATAATTTTCCCTCTAGTTTGCACTTAAAATGGAGTGTCGTTGATAACGTTTTTACAACACTTGATATTGCATGACGTCAGAGGATTGAAATAACAGGATGTATCTCACGTGTGAAATGTTGATTTATGTTCATACTTGGATATCATGGCATGTTATAGCAACGAATGACAAAATAGCTGCCCACTAATTGCTGTCTTACTGATGACCTTCTTATCAAATATGATAAAGATATCAGTAAAATTAATGGATCATTGTACGTATTTTTTTTTTTTTTTGTTTTAATCAAAGATTGGAGTAATGCTGGTCAAATGTACCATTTGTGTTCAATTTCAGATGTAAAAGGTAATTACGCTGAAATATGTCATCACCGCAGTTCTACTTGTCATGGTTAAGCAATTTAAGCCGATAATTTTCTTTTATGTTTTACATTACATAAGGTTAAGTATGCAAATTGAACACGCTATCGTTGAGAAGACGAATATGAAAATACAAAAGGAATTCCGCATCTGCGTTATAAACAAATCAGATATGACACGCTTTTCCATAGTTATCATCATCGGGTACACTAAATACATAAGGTTATGCAAGCCAGATCATTTAAGATTCAAGGGCCTCAATACTAAACAAGGTACATATAAGTTGCCGCAATGAGTCCGTTGACTTATATGATTTATCAAAATACGTCGTCTGTGTGACATGAAATATGAATACATTGCTTTAATTTGATCAGGTCCGATTCTGAGAAGATTTTAACATCACTAATTGAGTTGCAATAAGCAGTGACACCGACCCAGTGGTACATAAATGAAAAACTGTAAACACGGTCAATCGATTTATATTCTGATTACCAACTTCGTAAATTAAAAAACAAGATAACATAACGTGCAATTTAATTAAAGCTTAGTTATAAAGATATTAAAATGTCTTTTATTTCTTGTATTACCAAAATACGCCACAGACTCTTCAATACAGAAGAGACAAATTCAAAATAATGCCGTTACACATATGTATTTTTGCAACTGCAAAATTATTAATTACGCCTCATGAAAGAAATATGTTAACAATTGAACATTTTCCATAGTAGATTAGAAAAAGCAATGTGTACGGATAAGTGATTGTAACATACCTGATACACAATGGTTGTTAATATTACATAAATCAGAATCACAACAATTTGAGCATATTGTTGTGGTATCTCTTTTTCCAAACGGAGCGCTCCTTAAGCATATCTGCAAAAAAAAGAAGAGGAACATATAGAGAATCTTTGCAGTTAAAATATATTTGATGACCTTGCGAATAAATGTTTCACAGGTTTGAAAAATATATTTTATACACTACAATAATAATTCAGTATATAAATTTCAATACTGAGTTTAAAAACAGACCAGGAATGTAAAACAGTGGTACCTTAAAAAACATTATTCAATACCATATCTGCCAGAATGTTTTATCACAAATTATCGTCTCTGGGTTATAGAATATCTGTAACACAGATGAACACTAATATTTCAACTTGTCGAATCCACCATCCCATCCTCTTTTCTCCTATCAAGACAAAATTTACTTTATCACGAAATGTTTATTTTCTATGAGTAACACTTAGATTTCCATTACTATAACAATGCTTACTCTTGAGGAGAATATGAGATCAGTCCTAAATTTTGGTGGGGTTCGTGTTACTCAATCTTTGATATATGTGTATCCTTTTATGTACTGTTGTTTGTTTGTTTGTTTGGTTTTTTTTTTTTTGTCTTTTTCGTTTTGACCATATCGTTGTATATCTTATTCGACTTCATGTTTTTGGTTGCCTGCTGGTTTCTTCTCTATCGTTTTCTTTATCATAATAGAGTATATATCGTTAAACTTACAGTCTGATCTTCACATCCTACGTTGTAGTAAACGTGACCATCATTTGTTATCTGCTTTTCAGTGTAGCATTTCTATAACGTGCAAACAAAGCGAACATTAGCTTTTTATGTTTCATCAGAGGTTCTGTTTAAATAGTTGCATTACAAAGGAAGAAACACACACATACTATCAAGAATTTACTTATTCAGTTAAAAAAAACATTCTATAAAAAGTATGTCATCTATTGTTAATTTTATTTGACTATTCTTGAAAACAAACCAACTGCAATAAAAACGTCATATAAAACTAACGTTATATGTTTCAAATAATGTACATGATATTATCAGTTTAATCAATCCCCATATTACACATATCATTACTCTAATTCATACACCAACGGAAATGTTTATCAAAATTTCAAAATGTTCAATGTTTTCAATTTTTCCATCTTATTTCTGCACATAGAATGAGAGACGAAAGATACCAAAGGGAATTCAAACTCATTAGTCTAAAATAAACTCCTTTTCGTTGTGAGCCAAGGCTTCGTGTTGAAGGCCGACTTTGACTTATAATTGTTTACTTTTTACACATTGTGACTTGGATGGAGAGTTGTCTCATTTGCACTCATACCACATCTTCTTATTTCTATTGACAACGCCATGACAAAAAAACGAAAAACGATAATAAGACAAACACCAGTACACAAAATACAACATAGAAAACTTAAGACTGAGCAACCCGTAAAACACCAAAAACCGAAGGTGATCTCATGTGCTCTGGAAGGGTAAGCAGATCCTCCTCGTCATATTGCTCATGTAAGTACAAATCCGGTAGCTTAATATCAACTTTTAAGATATAAGAACTCTGAATTTATTAGGTTCCAAATCACAATTGTCAATGTGCATCCTTCTTGGTTTACTGATTGCTTTATTGTTCCTTGATTTGAAACTTGTTGCTCATCACGAGTTTTCAACCGAAGTGCATGCAATCCAAGAGATGTTTTGCTGAAGCTAGACGCATCTGGCCTCGTTTTTGTTTCAATGATATGTTTGCTTGTAAAGTATTTGAGCTTACCTGTTAGCTTCGACTTTCATTTACGACAGATACAAACAAACAAAATGCACTAAAACAAGCAAACTGGACTTGAAGACCATACCCTTCGTCTTTTACAATTTTGACTTTTATGATGTTTCTTTGGGCTTTTTACTTTTTATTAAGTTTTTCCATATTACCCGGTGAGCAGCGTTTTATTAATTTTGTTTTTTACAACTTGGCATAAATCAATATCAGAACAAATATCATATTTAAGTATCGTATTCCATTACAGATAGTCAGAAATTATTTTATAACGAATACATAATTTAGTAATGGAAACCATGTACAGATGACTTTTATAATTAATCTGGTTTATAACATATTGATATTAAAATATGCCTTTTCGACATACATCGAATCAAATAATTCGGTACTGTAATCTTCCGGTGTTTTACTTAATATGTGTGATTTGTAACTACAATTTATTTAGTCAATTCCAAAATTCAAACATTAAAAATTTGATAAAAAAAGGTAAGTCATCAATTGCAATAGGGTTATTCAATTTTTGGAAATTATAATTGATAATCAGAATAAATATATTTTTGAATAATAATCTTTGCCGTCAGTTATAGGCACATGTATGTTTATACATTGTTATATGTTCGTATTTGATAACATAGGTATAAGATAAAAAACAAAACCTCATGTGGGCCACACTTTGTAACAGTAGAACAGTCATGTGGTTGAACTATGTTTTTACATTCCAGGCAGGTAAGAGATTCTGAAATGAGTAATTATAAAATTTTGTGTCACATTTGAAACAGCAGAGAATTTTTAATTTAGACCGAAACGTTCTATAACTTAGTTCTGCCTGTTATTACCTAACAGTTTAAAAACACATGTTTTGGCTGTGGTTTTATCACATAAATTTCAATCGAAAATCTTCCAATGTTTTTGTGCGTTCGCTGATTAATTTAGAATTGCGCTTCGGACGCACGAAATTTATAAGGTGTTTTATTCATTCATTACAAACTTTTAATATTAAACACAGGGTTAATATGTATCATATACATTTAAATGTAAAGAGTTGAGTGCTACATACCTCCAGACTTAAAACAACACAGCAAAACTGCACACCACAACACAAGAACATTGTAGTGAAAATGACATAACTCGTATGTAGTTACGAATAGTTATATTCCGAAGGACATGGATGTTTATATTTAGACCAGTTCATGACTTATCGGTCGATTCGTTAAAAGCGTTTCCTTAATCATATATGGTATAAGCCTGATGTATTGTTTAATCATTGTAATATAAAAATGAGCACATGAGGCGTACAAATTCATAAAACACGAATTAATGAACGAAACCACGACAAAACACTATGTAATGCTAAAATATCAAATAGTTCGCAATTAAATATGAAAAGTTTACTTACTAATAGATGTATCTACTTTTAGACAAATTTAAAAGGAAAATAAATTAACCGCACTGTAATAATTCGTCTATCAGACTGCAACCAAACAACACATATATAAACGATAGGACATTCACACTTGTTTTTTTTTAATACGTTTTAAGTGCACGAGTGAGATTGTATTTATAAGATCACAGTTAAGATGTATATTAGCTAAAAACTTCAAATAGAACTAACCGTTTTAGCGATGGGACGTTTCCAAAGAAGGCTTGTGTAAATTATGCAAGTTACAATAATCTACCATTCTAGTATTAAGAGTACATTTAGGTGTATGCTTTGTATCTCGGTATAGAATTGGCGATGGACAATTAACGAGTAATATATTTTTCTTATTTAAAGCTATTACAGTCGATTTTATGTCACAAACAAACATATCAAAGCCACAATGACATAACCATTCCTTAAAAAAACAGTTCTAAGTCAAAGATAAAGTCAGTTAGACACAGGATGTTACAGAACATGTTCAGTCGATCAAATATCAAATCAATTCATAAAACCTTTGAAGAAATCATAAGATAGTCAATCTTTTGAATTAAACATGTGAAACCACCCTGCTTCGAATATTGCCATTATTGAAAACAAATAATCATGACTTTTTCTACTGCTGAACAAAATATTGAATAGTCTATTTCTTGAACAACTTAAATTGTCTATGTCAATTTTGCCTGTCATAGTGCAATTTTAGTACATAAATGTATTAGCTTTAAGTTTACGACTAAAATGAATAATCTAAATCATGCCAATATCAAAGCACTTACAATTTGGCTGAGGGCCCACTCTAGATGGATAGCCCACCTACAGCGGTATCGACGCAGTATTAGTAAAAATCAGAACGGTATGCTGTGTTTCTTCAATAAAGTAATCGTAGCTCAAAGTTAAGATGTTCAAACTCACTTGCTTATATGCTTTGTTTTAAGAGTGTCTGTATGCCATTTTATGTTTCTTTGTTGACATATTTGTTTGTTTTTGTTGACTTCTGTACCCGAATTTTTTACATTTTTACCAATTATAGATATAAGAAGATGTGGTATGAGTGCCAATGAGACAACTCTCCATCCAAGTCAAAATTTATAAAAGTAAACCATTATGTCTGTTTTGTTTGCTCACACATTGTTTTCAATATAATAGAATTATATGCGACTGTCATATAAGTGAGAGGTTTAGCTTGTAAAACCAGGCCTAATCCCCAATGTTCTACCAAGGAAAATGTCTGTACCAAGTAACATGAGTAAGGAATATGACAGTTGTGTTCTATTCGTTTGATGTGTCTTATCATTTGATTTTGTCATTTGATAAGGAACTTTCCGTATTAATTTTCTATGGAGTTTTGGTATTTTCGACATTTTACTTTTTAACATAACGTTGAAGAGCATATTATCTATGTGCTACTAAAATGTATCACTGATCGATCCATTCTAATTCATATTAGATTAGTTTAAGTAAGATAATTTACCTATTCCAAATGCTAGTCTGATTGATATTGTGTTTTGCAATCTCGTATTTGCCAATTTAAAATTATATACAAACAATTCATAAGAAGATATGACGCACTAATCAGATTCACTCCAAATCAATAGCATTGTACTATCTTATACAAAAAAAAACAAATCCAATGGTTGTGTTGTGGATATGAATTCTGTATACGCGGGTACAAAATGGGATTTTAGGAATACGAAAGTTCCTACATTCGAAATTATGACATTTTAGCCCGATAGTTTGTACAAATACTAATCATTTCCAAAATGCAATGGATTCAATTACATAGCTGATGGTAAATTTAATTCTTTCATCCAAATTCAACATTTTAGAATTTGTCTTATCCTGCTCTTTTTTTAACTGCTAAAACCAGGAACAGAATGTTGCACTTTTATAAAACACATTAAAACATTTCATTTTTACTGCAGATTTAAAACATCCTGTTGTTCGTGTTTTTTATTTGTTTTTTGTTTATACTTTTTGTCTATATCTGCCGCATATAGGGATATTTCGCGCAAAACTGATTTCATGTCACATCACTTTTCACATTTTGGAGTTCGTTCAAGAATTGGAAATGCGTAATATGTCAAATCCAATTTTGTGTTCCAATTTACTTATCATTCAACCATAAATGTATTCATTCATCTTTTCCAAGTTTATGAACGAGATTTGCGTACATAGTCCACTATGAAGTGTTTCTGGACTGATGTGTGCTTTCGTGGAATAATCGTTTTTTTGTATGACAAAGTAAATGATTGTTGTCAAAAACTTCGTGTGTAAATAGCATTTCATGATCTACATGATAATGTTGATAGATGAATTTGAATAAATTTTTGACCAACCATGGGTATTGTTATGTTTATATAGAATTTGGAAGTTGTTTTTTCGTCACTCACATGGATATCCAAATAATACAGACCACAGCTTCCTGTAGCAGCAAGAACATTTTAAACCTGCTTTCGAAATAATGTGTTTCTTTGTTCAAATTATTTGACATTTGTTTGTTGATAGATTGTATGTGTTTATTGTGTGTTTTCTTTCAACCACATATGGTCAAGAGGGTCAATCTGAGCAATGTGAGAATTCAGACTTCAAAATGTTTATTAATAGGTCTAGGATTGGGTTCGAGATTTGACCTTGACATAATGAAACATAATCTAATGTGGAAAAGATTAAAAATCACACGTTATTAATTGCATGCGTCCGAAGCGCTTTCTGATTTACCTTCATCAGGAACACTCACAGTCGAATATTTGAAAGCCAAGGATGTATAAGAACCAAAGGAAGAGTTTTATAATCGAAACGGACCAAAACAAATAGCCAAATCTTTATAAGGTCAACTTTGTCTGAGGGAGTTGAACCCTTAGTTTCTTTATCATTTCAAAATTGATAAACGGGCAATTTTAGAAAGGTTTATTATAAAACATGTCAGTAACGAAGTACTGACTTTTGAACTGACGATACTCTCGTGGAATAATAGTTTACCAGCACAGTTATCGACCAAGTCCTGTAACAAATGTAAACAACACGTTATTAATTTCATGAGTCCGAAGTGCTTTTCTGGATTTATCTTCATCAGGAACGCTCGCAGCGAAAGCACAAATTTTGTCAAAATACCTATTATCAACCGACTAGAGGATAAAATAAAACAACCCTTGCGTAAACATGGCTTTGATCGAGGAGTGTACACTGTGTTTATGTCAAATGATTACTGTCATTCTATGAAATGGTAATATATAAAAGACGACAATCAATGTTTCATTGATGTACGCAAATGCAACATTCAATTACTTAGTCGTCGTCATAGCATTAATTTGAAATAGCCTTTCAGTACCGTCATAACCATGATAATTATTTGGACTAGTATTGTGAAAGTAATTGTTAATTTTTCAATCTCGTTCCATTTAATTGTATGAATTTCAAGATAACATATATGTCACAAAAATACGTCACTGTTTGTGGAGTTCTGTGCTGTCGTTAATGGAAGATGTTCGTTGTTATTCTGCGGTTTACATGTTACTAATGTACTATTATGTTATATATTTATGTGTTTTTCTGTGCTGAGTATTCTTGCGTTTGATTTTACTGTATTCCTGTCACGTAGTGTTAGCGATATTATTTAGCATTGCCATATACGCGGAAGGTTTGGCTAGCCACAGAACCAGGTTGAACCCACCATGTTTTCTTAAAATGTCCTGTACCAAGTCAGGCAGTTGTTATCAAATGGTCCGTTTCTATGTATGTTGGCGTTTGTTTTTGTTGCACTTCTGTGTTTCTGTTGTTCCGTTGTTTTCCTCTTATAGTTGATGTGTTTCCCTCGGTTTTAGTTTGTAGCCCGGATTTGTTTTCTTTCAATCGATTTATGACTTTTGAACAGCGGTATACTACTGTTGCCTTTATTTAGTATGTAAATTGATGTAAATTCGAAGTACATTTTAATTCAGTGCTCAATTGGTCCTTACTCGTGCATTCTATGATCATCATTTTAACAGATTTACAGGTTTCAGTATATTTACAAGGTCAGGAACAAGTATGAATAAAACTGCTATGGTAGGTACAAATGCACCAGCAGCCAAGCCAATCAGAAGGCACAAAATTTTGGATCTGATGCAGAATAAAGTCGACGTCTGTACGATGAAAGAAGCTTTGTATCTAGCCTCATGTCTTCGAATAGTTCATTTGCCACGTCAGCTACTATTGATTCATTTGGAGAGCAAATGCGAATGCATATTATGTAACAATCCAATATATTCGTGTTTAAGTGTTCGATGATATTCATATGTCATACATTTCAAAAAAAATTAAAATGCGCTAAAACGTCAATCTATTTTATACCTTTGTGATTTTT